CCATCGGCTGGAAATTTGTCTTAAAATCAACTAGAATCTCATTGTAACTTCTCTCCCACTCGACCAACTCCTTCTTTTGCCTATCAGTCTCCTCGCGGGAGGACTCATCCGACGTGGCTTTCATCTCTAACGAAGCGAAGAAGAGTGTTTCAACTTCCGTTGTTTTCGTCTGGCTCTTGCTGCGCTTCTTCTTAACCTTCTTCTCGTCCGACTTGTTCAGACAAGGGCAACTCTTCGACGGTTTCTGCGGATTACCGCAGAGGCAACCTCCATCGTCAGCTTCGAGACTTAGCAAACTTTTGTAAGAAGTGCTCTTTAGTTCCACGACACCATCATCAGCGTGACGATACTTCGCCTCCAGCTGTAAAACTTTCTTCGCGTCCAAAACGTAACCACCGTCCTCCTCGATTATCGTCTCCCAGATATCATCTACAAATTGCAAATCACTCATATTGATAGACAATTTCTTCGTTAAAGCCCTATACATCTTCCGGACAAAACTCCTGTTATCTTTCAGATTATCAAAGAGTTTGTTGTACGAGTCGTAAAGCACGTCGGAACTGGTATCCCACAAACTGCAACAGAAAGATTCTTCGCTACCATCGGGCAGCACCAGGATAATCTCCGCATCGCTGAAGCTGATCACCAGCTCGATATCGCTCGGACTCGGCTCCAACAGCAAAGTGAAATCTTCCTCTCTCGGCGCTTCCTCCGACACCAATTGCTCTAGCTCCTCTTCCTCTTCGGCTTCTTCTTCGATAATCAAAGAGTCCTCGGAATCGAAAGGAATTTCATAAATGTAATCCATGTTCACGTCAAAGTCCATCAGATGGCCATGCGCGGATGTCGACTTGTCCAAGCCATTTCCATCAACGTCTTCGCCGTCGCTACCAACAACCACTCCATCACCTCCGACTGTAATCACTAACTGCGAAGACCTCCGGTCGCGCGTCTCCAGTTTCTGAAACAAATAAACAAATCAAAGTTAGTGGTGTATAATCATTTTTGTTTTTTTGAAAGATTTGACAGTTGAAAGACAGATGCGGCAGAGCGGCGAAGTGATTAAAAGAAGAAACCATCCGAAGACGGGATCTGCGGAAGACGAATTGGTCCATCATTACACCGATCAAAGTCTAAATCTGCTGGAGGAAATTTTCATCTTGGCCCTGGACAATGGTAAAATCTCTTACTGGAACGAGAGTTTGTCGACGGTGCTTCGCGGTTGCATTCTGATCGAGTTGAGCCTGAGGGAGAGGATCGCCCTGGAACCGAAGTCGCCGAAGAAGACGCGGTTCGGTTGTCGCAAACTCCTGGTGATGAACGAGGCGCCGACGGGGGAAAGGCTGCTCGATGAAACACTGAAATTGATGCGGGAATCGCCGGAGCAGTGGTCGTTGGAGGCATGGCTAGAGCTGCTGTGCGGCGAGAATTGGAACCCCTGGAATTGGAAGTACCACCTGAAAAATGTCAAGGAGCGGATCGCCAAGGATCTGGCGGAGAAGGGTATGGTGACCAACAAGAAGATGAAACATTTTTTCTACGATTTCACGACACACGAGCTCAACGAAGAGGGCATCCGCGCGGGACTGGTGCAGAAGCTTCAGACGAATCTGCTGGCAGAGTGGAAGGTGCAGCTGCAACAGATGGACACGAGATGTCTGGCCCTAATCCTCATGACCGTCGCGGCTGACCTGCAAGATAACATCTTCGAAAAGCTGGCGCTTGCCGACTACAATCTAATCAAGAGACGACTCAATCTGATGGTGAACGTCGACTACGAGCAGCTGGCGCAGCACGATCTGCAGCACGAGGTCGCCTGGGCCGTCTTCGCTATTCTCATTAAGTAAATTCAATAATGAGAAACAGATTAATATATAGATATATACGACAATAAAACATTGCGAATTCAGATTGAAATCAATTACTTACACAGATGATCGAGGATACAGTTTGCAGGATGGGGTCGGGATGCCGGAGCAAATCTTCAGGATATTTGGGCGCTTTGAAAGCGTTTCCCCCGTAGCACGGCACAAATATCCTCAGCGAATCGCTGTCCTCCAGATACTTGCGCAAAATCGAGCTGAAGACGTAGTGAGATCGCATTTCGTTGGGCTCGATGTAACCACCGCCGAGGATGTTTCCATCGTCGTAAATCATGACGTCCTTCACGCTTCCAGCCGGTCGATACGCGAACGATTCGAAACGCGTCTCACCTTCCAATTTCACCTGCCTATGAAGACTGTACACTTGCAACGTATTGCCGATCGTCCGATTCAGATCCACACTCAATTTCTTCTTCGTCTGCTTCCACATGGGAAACCAGCGGCGGAACCGCATCCCGGTGGCCCGCCTTACTTCAGCATCAGCATCAACTGCACACGGATTGGCTGCTGCTGCTGAAAAAGAAATAAGAAAAAGTATTAGAGAATGATCCGCTGATACAGTACAATCACTTACATTACCGTCAACGGTTCTCTCTTCGAGCAACTTGCGAATGTCCAGCTCGATGGGAAATGTGAGACTTCTGCAAGGCGGAGCATCACCGCCTCGTGATCTGATGGGCAACGGAAGACGAGACCTGGTGAACGGCCTCTTCTTCGTCAACGCGTGATAGGAGGTGTTCGTCTCGACTGTAGCGGACGGTATAATGACCTGCAGAGATACCGAATTCATCTCCTTATTGGAAACGATGCTGAGCGTCGAGTTGGTGCTTTTGAGGAATCTGGACGTCGTCTCATCCAAGAAATCCAAGAACGGATCGCCGACAGCTTTGGAGGCGATCGCCACCTCGCAGATTGGCGAAACTGTATCGCTCGAATTCCATTTGGATCTGGTCTTCCTTTTCGATAAGGTGGATTCTAGCGCGCTCGTCTCGTCGCTGAAATCGATCGCCTCCTCCTCCAAATTGATTACGTCTGCGGCAACGTCCTTGATGGCATCCAGATTGGAAATCGACTGCAGCTTCTTCCTCTTCGGGATCCTGCTCCTCCTGCGTGTCCCCTCGTTGCTCGTCTCCGAAGAGACCGAAGGTTCCCGCAATTTCAGCACTCCGCAGCATTCGTCTCTCGAAGACGCCGAATCGCTGATGGCCTGGATCCCTTCGAAACGTAGCTTCTTTTTGCGAACTTTCAGACGCGGAATTCGCGACAACTTCTTCTCCACCCAGGTGATGTCCGTGTTCGTCGCCTTAGTGATGTTCGCCGTCTCAGTTAAAGCCATGAAACAGTAAGGATCGCACGTGGGGAAACTGCAGAAGTCGTCGACGAAGCTCTTCAGCTTTACCGTTTTCGCTTCGGCCGCTTTCGGATCGTAATCGCCGAGCATGCGAGGATAACTCTCTTGGCTTCCGCAGATCCAACTGGTGTTTCGCACCAGCGAATGGCTACTGGCTGTGGTCGCATCCATGATCATCTTCACCGATTCTATGGAATAACTGGTCGCGACGATCGCTTTGGGTCTGAACGGTGGAATCTCCAGGGAGCCCAGATCGGAAAGTTTGATGCTGGGTTTCGGCTTCTCCTCGTATGGGATCAACTCGCACGTGTAAAGACAATCGTCATCTTGTATGGCCAGTATCGAGGATTTCCTCTCCAGCTTAGTCCTCTTGAATCCGGCCAACGTCTTCAGCGAATCCCTGATGCGTTCCTTCTTATTCGCCTTGGGCTTTTGCGCGTCGCCCTCTCCGCCTTCGCCTCTCTTCTTTCTCTTGTGCTTCTTCGATCCACTCTCCACCTCTTTCTTTAAACACTCCACGTCCTCGACGCTATCGCTCTTGGTGATCTTGGCCAACTTCTCCGCCTTTCGCGATTTGCTCTCGCTCTTCTTCGCTCTCCTCGAGCTTCTCTTATCATCACCCAAGATATCGGAGATGATGCACTGCAGGATCGAGGGCCGTCTCTCCCGCAAATCCTCTCGCGACATCGCAGCCTCCGCTCCTTTACCCTTTTTATTAATTTTCTTCTTCGAAGAAGTCGATTTCTTTCTATTCTTATGCACCGACCCCGACGATGACACCTTCGGTACGAGATCTTTCCGTTTCGCGGACGTCTTTCGTGCAACTTCCTGCACCTCCGAAGTCGAAGAACTGCAAATCGGTGGACAAACGTTGTTCCTCTGCCTCGAACTGGCCAACGTTAAACTATCGACGTCGTTCGAAGTGGCGCCGCTCGTCGTCAGCGTCGACGCGCTGCTGCACGACCGATTCACCACGAACTTCTTCTTCGTCACCTTCGGATTGAACGTGTCCATCTTTTGCGGATTGAAGACAGCGTACGTCTCCTCCACGATGGTGCTCATCTGTCCCTGCACTCGCATCTTCGAGGCTCGCTGCTGCAGCTTCGGAAATCTCGGCGTGATTCCATCGTTCTGCAAAATTACGTCAATGTTAATATTGAGTTTGAATTTCAATCAGTCAGTCAATCGCACTCACCCGTCCCAATTTAGACCAGCAGATGGTGGCGCGAGCTTTCGGTCCCAAAGGTCTCTCCTCGTCCACCTCTTCTTTTTTCGGTTTCATTTGTTTTCCTTCTTTTTCTTTCTACGCTACGAATTTAGCTCGCATCACATTATCAATCGACGTCTTCGGAATTCGGATGACCGAAGGCCATCAATGCGAGAGGAAACGAGTTCCGCCCGTTGCGCAAAATTAACACGAAATCATTTGACACGAGGAAAGTGAAATTGCCTAAATGTTTTCCCCATCCCTAAAGTCATTCAAACCACCACAGCCAACGCATTCAGAATTAAACAAATTTCAAATTTAGACAGTTTCAATAAATATTATATGCAACATATGTTACATAAAGAAAATGTACATCAAATAACTTTTTGACCCAAATAGAGACTTCCAGAATAATTGGAGAAATTTTAAAATATGTTATTTCACTTTAAAAGGAAACCCTAAAAGGAATTATTTCTTATTGGAGAGTTTGTTGCATAATACAAAAAGTTTTAAGATGAAGAAATATGCAACCAATCGCACGATTATTAAAGAGATCTCGTCGTTTTCTCTCTGCAATTCATCCAGCATGCGCACCCGTTTGTGTATATTGACTAACGAATGTTTCGTAACACGTGTTCTTGGTTCGTGATCGATCGTGTCTGAAGTGGAAACAGAAGATGCCAGCAAAGAAACTGCTGGTCGTCGGGATAAGCGGGGTGACGTGCGGTGGGAAGAGCACCCTCGCCAGGAACCTGCAGGAGAAATACCCGGATGCCACAGTCATCTCGCAGGACGACTACTTCTTGGACGTGATGGATCCGAGGCACACGTGGATAGAGGAACTCGATCACATCAACTTCGACATCCTCTCCAGTCTGGACATGGAGAGAATGCTGAGTGATGCGAAGGAGCTGATGGAACTGACAACAGGTATTTTGATCATCGAAGGCTTCAGCATATTCAACTGCAGACACATCGAGGAGCTCTGCAATTTGAAGTACTTTTTCAAGTTGAAGAAGGAGGTGTGTCGTGAGAGGAGGAGCCGAAGGGAGTACGACCCGCCCGACTGCCCGGGCTACTTCGACAGGTGCGTCTGGCCGGAACACATCGAGCAGCTGAAGGAGGTGGAGCGAACGGTCGAGGGCGTGACCTACTTCGAGAACGTCGAAAGCGATCACGCCTTGGAGGCGGTGCTTAAAGACGTGCGGAGAGAATCCGAATAAATACTCATAAAAATTCAAATAAGAAAAGAAACCGTCTGCTCTCTGTCTCGTTCACTGTTTCCGTTTTATTTCAGTTTATTTACATGATATATTCTCCTTACGTTCTAATATACTTTTTTTTTTAAATCGAATTTGTTTAAGCTATGGATTGCACCACCACCTAGCCTATTTTTACGTATACAAAAGAAATCAATCATTATTTTGTCCGGTGTTGTTCAGGTCATGTTACAATAAAATATATATATATATAGAAAAAAACACGATGTTCGATGCCGATATGTCACTAGTCTCTCTCTTCTTACATGTATAACATATGTATGGAAAAGGAGGAGGAGGCGGGTGGTAGAGAGAGAAATGTTCATTATAATCGATGATGATGACGATGATAACAAGAATTCATGCGAAGATCATTCATGATTGTCCGTTCGTCCGTCCGTCTCGTGCGGCAGCAATAATCAAAATTATGCCAATAACATTATACAAATATATAAACCTATTTACATGAGCAAAACAATAAATTAGGGCACTTTGAAAGTTTTACCGAACACTTACACCTAACAACAACCCAACAGTATATTGCTTGGAATAACTTTCATTTCAGTTTTGCACCAGATATTGTATATTGATATGGTTTTCTCTCTTTTCTTTAAATATCATAAATACTCTTAAAATGTAAATTTAAAAAAAAAGGATGAAGAAAAGATAAACAAGCAGCAGTATTACACTTTACCTGTTTCGTTTCGTTCATTTCAATTATAACAATAATAATAATAGTAGTAGTAGTAGAGCACTTTACGACTCCGCCCAAGGAATGAAATAGGCCACTCCTACATCGCGCACAAAATTAACAATTACCTTGTATTTACATTTATAAAAAAAAATGGCAATTACTCATCACTCTCACTCTGTTGTTGTTTCTTTTCAAGTCCTTAATATTACGTATGTATGTATATATATATATAGTGTGTAAAAGGGATATACAACAATATAATCACTAATACTTTTGGAATGGTCGATGCGGGAATTGATTGGAAAAAATTAAGAAGACGATTCGTTGGAGATTCAAAAGAGAAAGTAATATAAAATTAGAATGTTGCGTGTCGGATGTTCTTGTTTGTGTGTGAGTGTGTAAAAAAAGAAGAGAGGAACAACCTTCTTTGTCCATTCTTTCTTTTAGTCTCGAGAGCGCGCACGCACTTCGAAATTACCGCCGATCCTCCTTGTAGTTGTGCGCCTGCCATTTGAACTCGCTGCTCATTATCCACTTTTGACCCGCGCTCTCGAACTTGCAGGGCCTCAGCAGTGGCAAATTCATATCAGCCGAATCCGGCTTCTGCAAGCACTGACCGGTGTTGACGTGCTTTATCGTTTTATCCTACAACAAAAGGAAGTAACAGTTAGTTAGATCGACGTGCAACGACGACTATGCGTGACATCAATACCTCATCGTCGTAGACCCAAGCCTGGTTACCGCCCATCCCGTGGCAACGCACCAATTTGATTGGTCCGTTCTTGCGACTGGCATCCAGGCAATTGTCGTCGGCCATGATCTGTTGCCTCTTCGTGTACGCAAACACCTGGTTACCGCCCAGGTTGTGACAGTACGTCATGCCCAGATTCTCGCCGGCCTTGCGACCCATCGTGTCCAAGCAAGTCGTCGTCTCCTCGTTCCTAATCTGAAAAAGACAATAAACAAAAAAAACGTGAGAACAATTCCTAGAACCTTTTCTAAAATGCATCGTTATTACATCACCCAAGTAGTAGTAATCCAAAGGCATCTGCGATTCCGGATACACATGCTCCAGGTACCATCTGAAGGTCTTGCACTGCAATTTGTCGCGCAAGTTTTTGCGCGCGGTCACATCACCGACGGGCACGCTCCTCGCACCTAAATGAACACACAAACTCGGTGTACACACAAGTAGTCGTAGCGACGCGAATAGAACTAAAGCGAGCACTCGCAATTGCAATAATTCAAAATGAAACGTGCTTCAAAGATGTCGAAAAAAATTGAAGTAGAATGCAATAGAAGTAATGACAAACTGTGCTTCTCGAATCATTGCAAATTATCGGGCGGGAGGGGGAACAGGGTACGCAAACACGTGTAACAAACAAAATAAAATGATATAAAAAAAAGCTAAAAGAGAGACAGAGAGAAACACAAATGTTCTATGTATACAAATGACCATGCACAAAAGAGAAGCGGATCGAAAAATAAAAGAGGCCATGCAAACGACAAAAAGAAGAAAACACACGCACGCACGCAGCGGAAGTTGCCGATTAGTGCATATGGCAAATCTGTGTCAGCTTAGTAACCTGGGTTAATGTTATAGTAGAAGTCCTTCCATTGGTCGAGCCAGACCTCGGCGAGGCGGGCGTTGTTATGGTTGACGATGCGACTGGTTCCTCCGGGGAACGAATACGGCGTCGATTTTCGGAACACGTGACCAACATGTGAACAGGTCGCGATTTCCAGCGTCCCCCCGCACATCCACACCTTCATTTTACACGTTTTTTGTTTGTTTGTTTGTTTTCGCAAATGTTAGATGTATATGTGAGATGAAAGAAATCATGCAGTTAGCACAGTCGCAACAAATTTACACACATCAATAATAATAATAAAGAAAACAATATTAATAATTATATAGTTAACAGCAGTGAGTTCTTCTTCCTTGATGAAATGTAAGGAACGTTGGAAATTCAATGGATATTGTAGGAATAGTGTGTGGGGGGATTAGGGTTAAGAACCACTGGTGTAAAGAGAGAATAATTGGCAGAGCTTTCTCATGTAATTAGTCGCCGCCCATGCTCTTTGCTCGCAGTCAAACGTTTTAGCTCCGCCCACTAAGTTACCGTTAATAGTCAAATGCTTGTTGTTAGTGACATGAAAGAGCTCCGCCAATTCATCGATTCATACATATAAATAAACAAGCGATTAGTATCCAATTAATTAAAACAAACGCGAATACCACAAGTCGAGTCGAGATTAATTAATTTACAAAGATTATTCTGTGTTAAGCGGAGGAGTTAATCGTGTTTTTTCTTTCTATCTTTTCATTATGATTGACGTATTTGCCCCGCGCGCCTCGACCAAATTCAATCAAGTATGTTGCGTCCCCTTTTCGTTTCGCTTTAAATCTATCTAGCTATAACTATGATGTTGGTTCGACCTGGTGATTTGTCTTTTTTTTGTTGTTGTTTTGTTCAAACCTGGGTTCATGGCGTAGTAGAAGTCTTTCCATTCGTCCATCCAGACTTCGGCGACACGCGCCGCATTGTGCAGAACGATCTTGGACACGCCGCCGGGGAACGTGTAAGGGGATTTGTCCCTGAACACGTGCCCCACGTGCGAGCACGGGATTATCTCCAGGATGCCGCCGCACTGCCAGATCTATACGCACACCGCGACCGTACGTAGTAGCAGAATGAGACAGTGAGAAGGGAGGTAGAAAAGCGCCGCGAAACGCGAGAATTGGAACAGAAAAATAAGTTATTAATAAATATATATCTCATTACGACAAATCGCTTCATTATTTATAAACAATGACTGCTGTATTTTTTGTCCCATCTCCATTTTGGAGAGGAAACGTGGAAGAAATCGAGGGAGTTCGATGGAGAAAGATATAATAAACGGAAAGCAAAGTCAACATTACCCTGAAACTCATCTCGAGGTTTTCTCCGCCCCAGATGTCCATGCCCTCGTCGTAAGAGCCGATCTCGTAGAAGTAGTCGCGATCTATGGCGAAGAGACCTCCGGCCATCGTAGGCGTTCTCAAGGGGGCGGTCCTATCTCCGCCACGCCTGTCCATCTCCCTCTGTGGTACGCGATACCTGGAATCGAACGAACAATCAAGTACTTTTATTTCAATGATTACGAAGAAGTGTTGTACCATCTAAAATTCAACTTCCAATTGAATCCGCCCCAGGTCATGTCCGAGGCGGAAATGTACTCGAACGTCTCGTCGGAGATGACGTCGATGATCGGACAGACGACAGTTTTGCGATCTTCCACGATTCGCGCCAGTAACGGTTCCAACCATCCTTCCGTGCATTCGCAGTGGGCGTCCAGGAATGTTATCACTTGACCCTTCACGTGCTTGGCGCCCAGCAGACGCGCCCTTATCAGACCGGAACGCTTTTCAGTGCGGAACACGTGAACGGGTACAGGAAGCGTCTTCACGTACTCTTCCAATTTCCTGCCCAAGTGATCTGAGAAAACGAACAAACGGGTTCAAATCAATTCAATTCAAATATTCTTCTCACCTCTTTCGCTGGCATCGTCGACGAGGATAATCTCCTTCAGCAGTGGCCTCGGAGACCGATTGATGGCGCTCCAGACGGTTCGCAGCAGCGTCGTCCAAGCCTCATTGTGGAACACTATAACTATGGAAGTGGTTGGCAGCAGTTGAGCGTACTTCTTGTCCTTGCATCTGCAAATTACAAGAATTGAAACCAAGTTAATACACATAGGAGAAACTTTCCACACCTGCTGTTATTCTCTAATTATATTTGTTAATTAAATCATTACCTCTAGAAGTAGAAATTAGCTTATTTATTAACCAAAGTTTCTATTCCATCATATAAAGTTCATTTGGTTGTCTAAATAACAATAATTTTGTATTTTATCAATAGATTCCAATAATATATTATTGAGTGATTGCGTGCAATAAACATTAAGGAATTAGTCTTATCATATAAAGCAATAATCCTAAGACAAAGCAAAACTTGGATTCATAATACATACAGAGACAACAACAATAAAACAATGCGACCGATAAACGAAGCGTTCAAGACATTTCGAAAAATAGCATGAATTAGGATTAGATAACAAACGACGCACATTTCTTTGGTTACCAATAGTATTGCCTTAGCAACAACGCAAATTCTTTATGCAAATGCGCGCACTAATCATAAAATATAAATAAACCATTGTCGTCGTCGTCGAAAATTCTATTTTTTTTTTCTTTCCTCCTCATTATTATTACTATTCTCTCTCTTATTGTTGTTCCACCTCGCCACGAAACGATTCACGACTTAATCCGTGGCATTATGCGACCCGGATGAGGCAAGAACCGACGCAGCGTTCGCGTAATTTCGGCGTTTGGCAAGAGAATCGCAGAAGGGGGCGTGTCGCGATCCGGCGACGCCCCCAAACGAACTAACAACGTTATTTGTCGCGGTCGTCGGAGTGTGGAAGAATTCGAAGAAATCGCGTGTGCAGCAATAATCGGTCAAATAGAAACAGTATCGCGAGAGGACACAACAATGCGATTCCATCGGATGAATATTGAAGCGGTTTTGTGTTTCCTTCGGATCGATTGAATAATTCAAGGTCCCCGGGTTACAATTTATAGGAAATTGCGATGCCAAGGACGACTTCGTACGAAACACTTAAATTTGATGTCTGCACAACAGGAATATGTTTGAACTGGCGTTGAAAATCACAATCTCATGTTTATCTAATGGTTTGGAGCGAGACGAATGAAATACAAAAAGGTTTACATAGAAAATTGAAGAAGTAATTGTAGATGTACGATCGACCGAAAAGCGAAAACACCTTGAGTCTGAAGGAGCGCGAATTCAATGTGAGAAGTATGTGGAACGAGGATCGCATACATTTCAACTGATCTAAGAACGCAAGGATTCGGTCATGAGCGTTTACTTTTTGTTTATGTAATTATACGCAAACACAAGAATCCCAACTATCAATGTTAATTGCATCTTTCGGAATTCGCCGCAACCAACGTCCGCGTGCAACGATAATCTTAGCAAAAGATGCAAAACAAATTTAATTCTTCCAAAGTAAGATAAAGCTTGAATTGTGAAAACCGAAAATTCGTTATTTGCTTTTCTAGACGCATACCACGCGAAAACCCTTAAGACAATCGACGACTACGAGCATGGAATACTACGATGATGATGATGGTGTTGATGACACGTCAAGGTCTAATAGATGCAATCTTATTGCAAAGGCGAAGGGGGCGCTCGGGCGAGAAGCTTATGTATGTCTGTGTATGTGTGTGTCCTTTGACGAGAGAGGCTATTTTCGAACTTTCACTTGACATTTTCATAAGACCGTCGCCTATCTCTCTCTCTCTCTCGCACCCGCAACGCGACGCCACGTAAATAATGGAAAACACAAGACAGACAGAGAGAGAAGGACTCGAAGAGACGTTAATTATTTTCAATTCATCAAATACCTCATTAGGCCACAATACCCCCCCCGCCGCCGCACGCACATGCATTCACGACACACTCGTAAAGCCAAATGCGGACACCAAATTAAACTACAATTAGATTCCACTTATTACAGCACTGCATCGACCTGGCTGACGCTCTTTCTTTGCAAAATCAACGGGTGACACATAACAAAGTGTAATTAGTCTTCAACTAGATCTTAATTTCACACAATATTGTACTGATAATTACCCTAAAACAAAATTGATCTACTTTTCTAACGTGCTAATTACGCGTGTAAACATCAATGATAGTTGTTGCCATGGGAGACGCCAATCAAGAGCACGAGCGTTGCATTACAGACATACTTAATAGACAACATCGAAATAAATGCTTTCTTTGTAACATCCTCAAATCACTACTCCTCGTCTTAATTGATTATTATTAACAACACGATCTCTCTTCTGCATATCTCCAAATAATAATAATATTAAAAACAAGATTGGTTGCCACGGGTGACGTAAATCATAAGTCCCCGGCATTACCGACTTACTTACTTAATACCGCCAATAAATAAAAAAAAAAGACAATTGCGATAAAATAAATTAAACAATAATACGGCTTATCTCTAAAAGCGCGATTTTAAACTTATTAAAGTTCGATTATAAACAATTCTTTGAATCGGCCGAACGATAACACAAAATGCTATTAATGCCAATTTTCAAATTGATTTGCAGATAACTCGATTCCAAAACACAACTATTGGGCCAAATAAAGTAGATAATGTTTACGAGGAAATCGATTCGCGTTTGAGCCAAGAAAACGCTCAAGCCGAATTCTTATCTGAAGCCAAAAAGGATTAAGAGTCGCGCTCAAAGTCCGTCGCAAAAAAAAAACATAATAAGAATTTCGAATTTTGACCGCGTACCGGTTTAGGAATACACTTAGAAACTGATTAGTGTACCTGGAAAAGGTAATTCTAATCTACGAATATTTGAAAGACCATTATGGAAATGTCTAGATAATATTAAGTAGTAGATAAAGGAAACGCAAGTAAATCGTTACTTAAGACAAGCAGGAAAGTAATAATTTGAACTGTTGCATTATGGAATCATGAAATTTGATTCATATATAAATATTTCATTATTTAGCAATTAAATAGAGCAAGTGCACATATTGTTAATTATAGATATTGTATGAATGGCCTTTGGCAATTAGTTGTAAGGAATTAACATTCCTCTGATGGGTGTATCTCATTTAGACTGAATGAAAAACGAAATAAAGAGAAACTCACCCTTCCAATCTGACATCAGCAAGGGATCTATTCAGGGAGATCATGTCACTGGCCAGCAAGTTGAACTGATTCAGCTTGAACTTCTCCTTCATCAGGGCCTGCTTCTCAGGTGGGATAACAACAGGTTTACCATGCTCTCCTGGCAAGCTGCCCTTGGGTATCACAGTCGGCGCAGGTCTCCACCTCTTCAACTCAGACTTTTTGTATTTACTGCTCATCCCATCAAACTTATCCAAGCTGAAACAAGGGTTTCGTGAATCAATGAAAAGAAAAATGTATATACAGTATAAGTATGCTGCCGAGTGTTGCTCACCTTTGATTGTCTGGCTCCTTGTCGAAGCGGTTCTGCTCCTCGTTGGCATCATTGAAGTCATAATCCTTGCCTCTCTTCTGCATGCTGGCCTGAGGCAATTCCACATTGTACTCCCCATCTCTTTTGCAGTTGCTTCCGATGCAGTCTGAATAGAAGTTGAGTATGAAGACGACGAGCAGGAACCAGACGAGCGACGTGAGCAGGATCACTCTGCACGTGTGGATCCTCAGTTTGCTGTGCAACATCCTGCTATCTCGCAGGAAACAACAGCACAACGTCCGACAACAATAACAACAACAACAACACCCAATTAACGAAATAAACAACGCAGCGTTGATGGATAAGAGGAGAAACAGGTGAAAGCAGTGCAGTTGGCAGTGGATCGTAGCTGGGGCTGCTCTGGCTCTATGTGTGTTTGGTGCGTGGGCGCAGACGATGTATCAGTCCAATTGCATATTTTCCCCGATCGTCGCTGTTACATTTTCACCGCCGCAAAAACACGAAGACACGGGTGCAGGTGCGTTGGCTTTATTACACGTCGCAGCAACCGACCGAGTCTCTCCGTCACTACTCGGAAGATACACAATGAACAGTAATAAACTGTCACCCAGCGGCGCGCACACACACACACGTCAGAAAACGAACTGAAGTTAACGGCGAGACACGCGACGCCGTCTTCCGAGACAAACTGAACTTGAACTTGAATGTAAACCAATAGGAATCGGTGAACCAATAGGAATCAGTGAACGCTCGAACGCGATCCCGGCAAACTTCACCGCAATGTTCCGAAATTGTTCGCTACTGCAACAAAAATAAAATAGAAATAATTACAGTTAGATTTTCGTGTTACCTACTGAACTCGTTATTGTTATTATTATGATGCGTTGCACGGTGCGGTTAAAACATGCAACGCATTAAAATGAATCAAAGTAGCAAACACCGCACACCGAAAACATAATTAAAAACTTGGAACCAACTTAAAGAAAAAAATATTTAAATCCACAGGTGATTTGAACGAATTGGACCGTTTTAATAATCAAATGAATATTTTCCAATTCGATCCCATTGAAAATATAAATTTCCAATTCAAATCGAATTGGATCATATTTAAAGTAAATTTAAACTATATTAACAATTGAATTGAACCATTCGATTTATATCAATTATAAAGTAATAACGTAAACCAATTGGACTAATAAACAATCTGCTTAAATGAATGTATCAACTAGCGTCATCTGTGGATTACTAGAAGAGATGTTTTAAATTATTTTCGTAATTGGATCAAATGGTTCAATTATTAAATTCATGTAATAATGAAATGTTAATAGATAATCGTTAATGTACTTTGCATTAAGATTTTCCAACAGGAATATGTAAAATTATGTAAACTTACGGGTTGTTGTAAACCATCTGGCGGTTCACTGTCCAATCAAATTGACGTTTGCTGCTTCATTGTTTCGTTGAGCAATCCATGATTTTGCAGTTTCGTGTTTTGACGTAGGGGTCTGTCGTTGTTTTCTTTCTGCCCAGTGTTAAGTTTCACATCGTGAGCATTAAACGGAATTTTCGTGGTTGTTAAAATTAACGTTCTTTTCCGGAATTGCAGAGTTTTCGAGACGCTATGGACAGACTATTGCGTTTAGGTGGCGGTATGCCGGGGCTCTCGCAAGCCCCGCCACCATCCGACGCTCCCGTCGTCGATACCGCCGAACAGGTGTACATCTCATCTCTGGCACTGCTGAAGATGCTCAAACACGGCAGAGCTGGTGTACCTATGGAAGTCATGGGTTTGATGCTGGGTAATTAGAATTGCGAGTGAGATTCGAGTAAACATAACCTAAATTATGACTGGTCATTGTGTGCAGGTGAATTCGTGGATGATTACACCGTACGTGTGATAGATGTTTTCGCGATGCCGCAGACTGGAACTGGAGTCAGCGTGGAGGCAGTGGATCCAGTTTTCCAAGCGAAAATGTTGGACATGCTAAGACAGACCGGAAGACCCGAGATGGTGGTGGGCTGGTACCATTCCCATCCCGGATTCGGATGTTGGTTGTCCGGTGTGGACATCAACACCCAGCAATCTTTCGAAGCTTTGTCCGAGCGCGCTGTCGCCGTCGTCGTCGACCCCATCCAATCTGTGAAAGGCAAAGTCGTAATCGATGCATTCAGGTAAACTCATTTCAATTGCATCTCACCTCATAGCTTGATTCGTTCGTTTTTTTCTCGCAGGTTAATCAATCCGAACATGATGGTTTTGGGTCAGGAGCCCAGACAGACCACCTCCAACTTGGGACATCTGCAGAAGCCGTCCGTGCAGGCGCTCATCCACGGCCTGAACAGGCACTACTATTCGATCAGTATCAATTACAGGAAAAACGAGCTCGAGCAGAAGATGCTGCTGAATCTGCACAAAAAGTCGTGGATGGACGGTCTCACGCTCGCAAATTACACCGAAAATTGCTCTGTGAACGAGAGGACAGTTTCGGATATGTTGGATCTGGCGAAGAACTATAACAAGGCGTTGGAGGAGGAGGAGAAGATGACGCCAGAGCAGCTGGCAATCAAGAATGTGGGAAAGCAGGATCCGAAGAGGCATTTAGAGGAGAAGGTCGACGTGCTGATGACCAACAACATCGTGCAATGTCTGGGAGCTATGCTGGACACCATGGTCTTCAAATAATCCATAACATATATTTTCCGTTCTGTTTCTTTCAGAATCCTTTTTTTATATTTACATGCCTTAATTAAGTTAAATTAAAATCATTTCTCTCATCGTAGTTTTTTTCTTCTTCGCTTCTTCCTAACTGTCATTACATTGAAGACTCGTCTTGCGGTGGCAGCTGTACAGCGACGTATTGGATGTTCGGCATCATCATTTGATCGTAAGATATGTTGTACATGTATTCCGGTGATGGAAATTCGCCGTACTAAAACAATAGAATTGAGTATTTAAAGTAGATTAAAGTGTATTAAACATACTGTTGGTTTGTAATATCCTGTATATTGAGCTTTCGGTATGTACTCTTGTGGTGGAGATGTCCTTGTGTACGTTTCGTAATTATTTGGTGGCGTTCGAGATCGTCTCCTCTGATACCTCGTATTAGGATTGTAATCGTTGCGGCTTCTACAATTAATCAGATTTATATCAAATTTTATTTACAACTGCATCAATTACCTTCTATCTTGCGAACGAGACTTGCTCCTAACCCGCCTTCTATTACGTCTTCTCGATTTGTGCTGACCTCTCGGAGAAGAACTTTTTTCTCTACTCTCTGAACGATCTCTAAATAAACACAAACATTCTTAATCCAATCAATGTAACAACATATACAATAAAACGAACCTCTTTGAACGTCGATTATTCGATTTCCTTGATCTGCTCACACATTCAGAATCCAAAGATGGAGCACGATTATAGAAGCTCGGAAATATCTGACTAGACTTTTGACTAATTACAAAGCACAATAATAATTTGCTGTCTTTATATAGGGGGTTAATAAACACATACCCGAGTACTATGTCATCTTGATTATTCGATTCCCTTGATCTGACCCGCCTACTATTACGTCTTCTCGATTTGTGCCGACCTCTCGGAGAAGAACTTTTTTCTCTACTCTCTGAACGATCTCTAAATAAACACAAACATTCTTAATGCAATCAACGTAACAACATATACATTAAAACGAACCTCTTTGAACGTCGATTATTCGATTCCCTTGATCTGCTCACACATTCAGAATCCAAAGATGGAGCACGATTATAGAAGCTCGGAAATATCTCACTAGACTTTTGTCTAATTACAAAGCACAATAATTTTTAGCTGTCTTTATATACAGGGTTAATAAACACATACCCGAGTACTATGTCATCTTGATTATTCGATTCCCTTGATCTGACCTGTCTACTATTATGTCTTCTCGATTTGTGCCGACCTCTCGGAGAAGAACTTTTTTCTCTACTCTCTGAACGATCTCTAAATAAACACACACATTCTTAATGCAATCATCGTAACAACATACACAATAAAACGAACCTCTTTGATCGTCGATTATTCGATTCCCTTGATCTGCTCACACATTCAGAATCCAAAGATGGAGCACGATTATAGAAGCTCGGAAATATCTCACTGGACTTTTGTCTAATTACAAAGCACAATAATTATTTGCTGTCTTTATATAGGGGCTTAATAAACACATACCCGAGTACTATGTCATCTTCCAATTTAACAGTGTTCTCCTTGATATCACACCTGGAGAACATTGGCAATCGATTTGTAGCTATAAAAATGTTATTGTTCGTAATATTATTATGATAACGAGTGTTTGAATAATAAATCAACTTACAGCAGAAATTGATATTCAATGATTCTGGTTCGAGCAGATCCCGTTTGATAATTGTCGCAATTGTCTGGTTGGAGGAATCATTTGTTTGCAAATCGCTACGTTTAATTGCAATTTTAATCGACTTCAGCAACCTCGCGTCGAATTCAATATTTTCCATATTCGCCTGTGTTCAAATCGAGTCCTACTTTTTAAATTAGAAATGTGCAGCACAAGATAAAGAAGTAAAAAGTGCGACAAATGCATGTGCATAATAGTAAACAAAAATTTGATTTGACCGCTAAGTGCAAAAGGGTGCAAACAGGTGAAGCGCTGCCAACTTCAACAATTTTTCTTCTTCCCTTGTAAAATCGACTACTTTCTAAAAATCATCAAATTCCAGACAAGCAAAAAACAGTAAAGCTAATTTTGGATGTAGATTTGATATAATTAACATACCGAAATGCGTACGCTGAGTTGCATATCTCCAAAGAAGAAATTGATGCGTTGATGACAGTGGTCAACTTTTGTTTGGTAGCACTGCTCTTTGCATTCTGACTCTGAAACACAGAAATACAATACATTATTTTTAGGTTACTTTGATAATTTTAAAGAGATCATAGGATTCTGGTGTTTTCGGTTTGTTTTGCAGTGCAGTGTGGGGTCGGCGGCGTCACGATGGAAGATACGGTTGTTTTCGACGAGAAATTGCTCAAGTCAATAAAGGTCGCGATAAAACGGGGCGACTTTCAGCAAAATCAGTCCACGAAGGACTCTCCGCTCAAACGGGATCTACTCGATCCCGAATCATTAAAAATTCATATCAACGGTAAATTCATGTTTTCTTCTCATCATTATATCAAAAAAAAAAAAAAAAAGAATTATCTTTTGAATGGTATTGTTAACACATATCAAAAAAAAAAAGAAGAAAAATCTCCATAGAGATAAACAAATAAATTGTTTTTAAATACATTCTTTTCATAACAGATATAACTAGCAATGTACAGGAATTCCTTCGAAGACTTGAGTGTTAGAAGAAAGAAGAAAGAAGATTTAAGAACATTCAATTATGTAAGTTTATACTACGCTTTACATTTCAACCAGTATATAGTAATTAAAATATTGAGTCAATCAATTATCTATCATGCATGCATGCTGCTTTTGATAAAACGTCAATTTCAATGTCATTATTTAGTTTATGAAAACGTTTATTGCTTATTTGTGTTTGATTAATGCAAAGAGATGGAAGAACAAACTGGGGAAGATAGAATCTAAGAAGACAGAAGAAATATATATTTTTTTGATTTCAAAAGGGTTTTCGAAAGTCAAGTCATTGCATTTAATGTCTTTAATAAAATGTTTTTATAGGTACGAACCGAGTGCCTGTCTTCTCCCGGGCCGATGTGAAGGCGAACGCTGTTAAATTGGAGACTGAAAGCTTGGACAGTGTTGACAGGCATGGATTACTAGCTTATTTCTGCAAAGAAGGAAAAAAATTTAATTAACATTTGTGTTTTGTTTTTTGTAAATTAGGCCGAAATCGAGTGCACTCTTTAAGGAGTACTACAATCATGCCCCACCTTCGCATCCGGGATGCTCGAAGGACAATGCTTATCCAAGCACGTCTCGGGAATACCAGAGCACGAGCAGTCGGCGTTACAGGTTCGATTTGTTTTTTTTTATTTGTGTTCAATGTTTTACAGAGTGGATTATTGGTATGTGGTGTTTGTATTTAGGGATCGTTCGAAGAGTAGCGAGATATCTGATTCTTCGAGAAGTCGCAGGGAGTCGCGGAGGTCGAATGAACGTAAATCGCGTAAGTACGATGGCGATGGACGAAGTAAGTCTCCCAAGTACTACAGGAGATCGTCTTCGCGATCCAGGGAACGCAGAAAGAGCAGGTCTCGGTCTCCTAGCGAGAAATATTATAAGGAATATGCGACGAGCAGGAGGAAATCGCAGTCACCTAACAGAAGAAGGTAGCAGTAATTAATGCTGTTATATTGAATGTATTCATGTTGTGTTTTCGATTACTTACAGAAGTCCCGACTACAAGTACAAGAAGAAGTACCCGAGAAGTCCCGAGAGGAGACGATCTCAAACGCCTTTGAGGCCCGGCGAGTACAGGCCACCGAAACACCACGAGAGATCTCCACCGACGCACAGAAGGAAATCTCCACCACTGAGGCCGGGAGAGTACAGACCGAAGAGGTACCATTCCCGGTCCCCGGAGAGATCTCGGAGTCCTGCTGTGAGACATCCGCGACCGGCACCGCACGGCTTTTACGAACCATTCGTATGTATTCGTAGCACTCTTAAAAATTGAATTGATTTGTGATCGTTTTAAGATTCCGCCACCGCCTCATATGATGCCGCGCTACATGCCGGACATGTTCAGATCGAACGGTCCGATCCTGATTCCACATATACAGTATATACCAGTGCCGCAGCCGATGATGCCACCCATACGGCATCACACACCAATACGACCACCGAGGATATATAATAATAGAACTATACCGATTCTAAATACTCAGGTTAAAAACGTGGCTCCGACGAAGACTGACGAAAAGAAGGAAGACAGTAAAGAAGAAGAGTAAAGTAAAATATATAAATGTATATATGTATTAAATAATTAGAAATAATCAATTTCATTTCAATCCTATAAATAAACCAACGTATGATAAATCTAACGGATAAAAACTAGATCCGTTACATTTTCTGTATAAAAAAACAGGTGCAACCTCGAGAAGGTAAATGCGTACGGTCTTGTATCAATTCAGAGGCTTTGTTTTGCGCTTGAATTGATACCTGGTTATCATCTTCGAAAGAAGATGATATACCTTGAATTAGCACCTGGACATGCGGCCACGTGGAAGCCGTTGCTCTCATTCACAGCAAATGAGAGCAAACGCGCGACCGTACACCCGGGAGGAATCAAAAAGAAAATAAGGAAAGTTTAGGATAGAAGGAAATGCTATGATCTAGGTACCTGAAAGGGAACGTAACGATTAGTGACATGACATACAATACAAAGAAATCAATCCTGAAACAGAAGAACAAACAAAGACATGACATACACCCGACCCGAAACATAAACGAAATATAAGTTTACACAATCTATAAGATCGTATTGAAAAATACGATACACATTTATAATCACAATAAAAATAAAATTGCATTACACATTGAACATCATTATAATATTTTACAGGAGAGGAATGAATAGAACGTCCATTTTCTCTCATCTTTTATTTTATTTATTTTTTTTTTTATTTTTTTAAGAATTTTATAATTCTTTTGTTTTATATATTTTTTTTATAATTCTTATTAAACCATATTTTATTTATTATTTTTT